CGGGAGTAGCAGATGCCGGGTCCACAAGCCTAGAGTGCCCTCTAGCGGCTGTCAGTGTGAATATAACGAACAAGTCATTTTTCGGTGGTACAGGAGTAGCAGATACTGGTACACAAGACTAGAGTGCCCTCTAGTGGCTGTTAGTGTGAAAATAACGAACATGTAAATTTTCAGTGGTACAGGAGTAGGAGATACTGGTGCACAAGCCTAGAGTGCCCTCTAGTGGCTGTCAGTGTGAAAATAACGAACATGTGGAATTATATATTTTAATGTCGCAAACACAGCCAAAGGATGAAAAAAAGTGCGACTTATAGTCTGGAAAATAGGGTACATAATTAAATATCAAAAACAACTACTACCTTGTATGATTATTAACTATGATCACAAAGTGTGTGTGTGTGTGTGTGTGTGAGCCCTTAAGACTGATTCGTTTTTTTCTTAATAATTACAAACACTGCTTTTATCGCAGTGTCAACCTGAACTTGTCAACTTTGGTTGACATTCTGAATTTAGGCCAACAACGGTAAAACGGCCATGGCACATATTTTATATCAGAAGAATACCATGGTACCAAAAAGTACATGTAATGAAACACAACGATCATGTAGTTTCGACATACTCACAATTCATGTACTGTAGTATGTAACCTGGGTTTGGTTGTTTAAACAACCAAAACCTGCAGGGATTTTAGGGAAGACAGACATAAAGATCTTTGACTCGCCCTTTTTTATTTCATAGCCCTTTACTGCCACCTGGTGGACGAGTATTTAATTGCTCTGCCTTTCACCGGTGCAGAGAAGAAGAACAAGAATTTGCAATCAGTAAAATGTGTGTCTGTACTCTGATGCTGTATGGTATAATGTACGTGCTCTCCTACCTGCAGACTGGTAAGATCGTAGCATGACTTTTCTTTCCTCTGAACAACTGCCTTTCAACCAGAGCATCAACAACAGCCTGCCTGGCATCGAATCTCTTCACTCCCTGAAATGACACGAATGAAGTAGGTTTTAACACAACAGGTGGAATCATTCTAATTTAGCAAGTAGACACACATTAATACCACATATTGTAATCTATATTTGGCGTGGTTTCTTTTTCCTTTCTGTACCTCCAGCCATTGGCCACAGGGGGGTGTCATTGTCCCATCTCCTTTGATAACAGTAAGCCGTGGAAGAGAGTGTTTTTGTGACAGCAGGAAGTCCGTGTGGTCATGAGCGGGAGTCACCTTCACTGCACCTGGACGACAACAACAACAACACAACACAACACACCAGCTAACATCAGTGATGGATGGGAAAAAAAAGACTTGACATAAATACAAAACACACAAAGGGCCAAAACGTCAAATATTAAATATACTAGCCACCGCTAGCGACTGTGATCGCGTGAATGTCAACCTCACCAGTTCCGAGCTTCATGTCCACCAGTGAGTCGGTGATGACGGGCAGGACTCTGTCGGTGAAGGGGTGTCTGCACTGCTTCCCGTGAACAGACTGGAAGAAGATAAGCGCAAACATGTGAGCACGAGAGAGAGAAATGGCGACTGATTTTTTTTTTTTTTTTTTGTATTTACTCTGGTTAGAGTAATACTCTGGTAAATTCTTACAATAAGATTACATCTAAACTGATATTCATAATGAATTATTTATTTATTACCGTAATTTCCGGACTATAAGCCGCTACTTTTTTTCCACACGCTTTGAACCCTGCGGCTTAAGCAGTGATGCGGCTAATTTATGGATTTTTACGGGCTAGCGAAGCTCATACCGCTAGCGCTCAATGACTTTTCTGGTAGGCTACTGTGTGTTATGCTAGTAGCATATGTCTGTCTGTGAATGGGTGTGTGTGTGTGTGTATATATGTGCGTGGGGGGCGCACGAGAGAGAACAGTAGCGGATTTTTTTTTTTCATTTTTTTAAGGGGGTGTGGCTTATATTCAGGTGCGCTCAATAGTCCAGAAATCACATTTGGAAGCAACTACGCAACTTCTCAAATTAACAGTGCGTGTCAACATACGATTACTTGTAAACAGTAGTCAGACAACAGCACACACTTGATATCGAGGATCGTCTGGATGAACGGCAACGGCTACGTCTCCCAGCATAGTCTCTGGACGAGTGGTTGACACCACCACCTCTTCTCCATCTGAAAAACAGAGCATCAGGGCTGGGTATTGCCAGGTATGATATCACGATATGCCACCATCACGATATTTCGCCCACAACAACGATAATATCGCGATGCCGCGTTTTTGCGATAATCGATATATATTGCGATAAATTTCATCCATGATACCTTGCGATATGAGCCACGGAAGACGTCCAAAATTTATTGGCTGCATTGACTCCATTTCACATGCATTATAAAATACTGTCATGTGAAATTAGTAAAAAAGGTAGATTAAATATAAATTAAAATATGTAAAAACAGATTGTCCTTAGTGTCGACACAGTGGCTCATTTATACTAAGCGCCATCATGTGGGGGCTTGAAAAATGGCAGCTTGGTTTCGTGAGAGAAAATTAGTGCATCTTATATCGATATTCGGCGCATGTATATCAACAATGTACTGCTAGACGAAATATATATATATATGTATATATATGTCGTAGTATCAATATTTTGGCACACCCCTAAAACGCATGAACTATCGCATTCCAACATACATTTATGGTCACAAATACTGTATTTCTAGTAAATAAAGCCACACTATGTACACATCGCAGCTCAACAGGCAAAGAGGCAAATTTTGATACTAGCTTTTCACTACCAGCTCATCACTGTATGCACTACCAATGCCTTATTCTCGGTACGTTACTACAAAAATTGTAATTACTCACCGTGGCCATCTACTGGGTAAGCAAAGCTGAGAATAGTTCCAAACTCCACCTTGTTTTTATAACCAGGAACGGACAGCATCGTCTGCCCAGCAAGTTCCTTTGAGTCCACCTGATGAAAAAAAAAAAACACAAACACCTTCACAGTACTGATGTTCATGATACACGTGCTGCAGTTGAACAAATAATAAAGAAGACAAACTCAGTGTACGTCATGTGACGCAGTGGGTGAGGCAGTATAACTACCTCGATATCAGAGATGGCCGATTCAAGAGCACAACTCCAGTTGACGAGACCCTCAGAGCGATAGATCAGACCGGAGTCACAGAGTGTGACAAAAGCCTCGGTAACGGCTCTGCTAAAGTGCTAAAATCGAAAGACAAAAAAAATGAAATTAGATTAGATATTGCAGAAGGATATTCCGTGGTTGTAGCAGGATCTTTTGAGACTTTGTTTTTGTAGATGAAGCGACACGTAAAGAATGTATAAAAACAGTGTTCAGGTGGGATACATCAGGGATCCGCTCTGAGCCCCTTCATGGTTGCAAAAGTGATTATTACTGATTAATGGGGAAAGTAGGGAGCAGGTGGGACATCACCTGGAGAGGTGACGGTCCGTAGAGCCGTGATTCTAAACCATAGGGGCGCAACCCAAATTTGAGCCGCCATTTTGAGGGACGCAAAACATTCAGTTTTCAACATGTTTGCCGGAACTGCATAGGTTAGATACTCCATGTGATCCACGAGAAGCTCAGGTACAATGTCATTTTTGACCACATGGTGGCGGTACTTCATCAGGCAGTTCTTTAACAAGCTCCAATATACAGAGAGGAAGACTGTCTTCGTCTTTATGCTAGCTGTAGCAAAAAAGTAAAGTGACGTTTTTAAAACAAAGAAATTAAGATGAACATCGTGCAGACCTCCCCTGACAAAAGATTACATGGATATGTACATGTCTTTCCCAAAGACTGGGTCGCGACCAACAGGTGGGTCGCAAGAGGTTTTTTTTTTTGGGGTCGTCTCGTACCATGTTTCCCAGGAGTTTACGAATAATGTATATTGACTTGGGTCGTGAAGGTTTGTGACTTTTAAAATTTGGGGAAAAAAAAATTTGGAAACACGTGGTCAAGGTGGTGGCAGATTTAACGTTGGAGATTCGGTTCCAGCAGGATCCGCCACAGCTAGAAACAAATCACTATCTTACCGGATCCATTGTAAAACATGCTCTTCTCCAGTCCAAAGAAGCACCCAGGCTTTTCAGCTGCTTGTAGATCTCTTCTCCTTTCCTACAAGAGAAGGTAGAACATATCTTTGATTCCCATTCCTTAGTGTCGGGGTTTGCACATTTTAAAGCAAATACACCAGTTATTAATACTCACTCATTCTTCCATTTCCACACCTCGTTCAGGAACTCCTCCCTGGTAAAGTCCTGTCTGCGCTTCCCTTTCTCACTCAGCAGTTTTCTCTCCACCACTGTCTAATACAAAGACACAAAACAGATGACGTGGGCTGCAAACCCCTGGAGATCATTTGAAGAAAAATTGCCCCATGAAGATGTTTTTTTTTTTTTTTTTTTTTTAGATATTAGCGCTTTGCTCTTTACCAATGCTTATTAGGGCACCGTTGAAAGACAAAATGAAAAAAAATGTCATACCTGTGTTGCAATACCTGCATGGTCACATCCAGGAACCCAGAGGACTCTGTAGCCCTGCATCCTCCTCCTGATGAATTTAAAATAAAATAAAAGTCAAATAAATAAATAAATAAAATACTAATAAACATGTCTTCGCATCTTGTTGACTTACCATCGGACCAGGGTGTCCTCTATTGCTACAGTCAGAGCATGGCCCAGGTGTAGAGAACCAGTGACGTTCGGAGGAGGGATGCACAGTGAGAAGGTCCGATCCACGGCGTGAGGTAACGTTTCCTGTTTAGATAGGACAAACTGAGAGCCAGCCACAGCTCACACAAATGTATTGTGTGGGGTTTTTTTTTTTTTTTGCCAAAAATTGACCTTGAAATGTGACGGTTTTGCTACTTTTAAGCCAAAGATGAACACAATGTTTAAATCACCTGAGCTTCAACTACAGTATTTTTCGGACTATAAATCGCCCCAGCCAAAAAAAAAAATGCATATTGAAGATGAAAAAACATATGTAAGCGGCTGCTGCGTATAAGACGAAAAATAAACGAGCATGTCAATTTACAGCGGTACAGGAGTAGCGGATACTGGTACACAAGACTAGAGGGCCCTCTAGCGGCTAGAAGTGTGAAAATAAACATGTTAAATTATATATTTTAATATATAAGTCGCATCTAAGTATGAGTCACAAACCCATTCAAAGGATGAAAACAAGTGCGACTTATAGTACAGAAAATACAGTATTTACATGTTCAGTTTAAAGTTATCATCATTGCTAAATTTAGTATGCTTCAATTTGAAAAAAAAAAAAAAAGTCAAAATAAATCCAAAATTTTGATTTCTTAAATCCCATTAGGCATTTGTCTGGGATTATGTGAATTTATGTAAATCCTAGGATTTCCTGTTATTTTTCTTAACCATGTTTAATATGATTAATGAATGGATAGTGGAATAAATAGATCAACAGACAAACAAAAACTGTTAAGACTTTTGCTATTTTTTTCCACAAAGAAATGAAAGGGTGCTGCGGCTGACTGTGGGGCAACATCCTTACATGTTGCTCCGGACTGAAGAAGCCCTCTTTCTCCCACCACTGATACCAGCTGGACTCCACATAGGTTGGACTGTACGTGGGTGGGAATGGCAGACTGGTGTCTGCGGATGAGACAAAACAGCTTTAGATTCTAAAAAAATATTACACCGGGCGAGCAGGCTGATGGAGATCAATCACCTTTCTTTTGTCCAGGAGCTGTTGGAACCGAGTACACCGTTTCCTGCTTAGCGCCCCATTTCATTGGTTTCTCCGTAGAAACCTAAAAACATAAAGGAGACACATTTGTACTTATATAGCACTTGATACAAGGTCACAGATTAGAAAATATCACATGGGGACATTTTTCATAATTTGTACAGTACTAATTAAGCTTTTCTATTATTTTTATTACAAACATTATTTATCCAAACATGCAAAATGTATATGAATATATAATTATAATTAAGACGAAGGTGTACCGGCTGTTCAGATATAATGACTACTCGAGTCTGACTTAATGTCACATTTCTCAATTAAAGCCTTAACTGTTCATTTACGCTGCTTAAGAAATAGACTTGTGAGAGATTAAAAAAATCCCTATGTTGCCTTTATGGCTCTTGTTGTACATACCCCATGCTGACTTGACAATATCGCCTCCTCCCGCCCTCGTTTGCGCTTCTCTTTTTCAGCTTTTACTGTTTTTGATGGGGCTGATGAGGATAAAGGCCTTCTTGGGTTGTTACAGCAGCGTCCGACTGCTCGTTTACCCGCCGACCCAAAACAGAAGACACGACCCGTCCGCCACATCACTGCTCTAAACAGGAAACACACACAAACAAGTGAAAGACAACGCAATAACCTCACCACGTGCCACCAAAATTCAACGTTTAAACAGCCAGGAGTAACTTACTGCGTTCCCAATACGGTGCTCACTTATTAGACTCTAAAATTCATTTCGTTATTGTAAACTCCATAAGAGCATTTTTTTATATTGTTTTGTTAATGTTTTAACTGTAACTTCCACATGTAACATACTAAAATAAAAAACATGGTAAACTAAAAAATCCCTTATAACTAAACTAACGCAGCATGATCACTAACTATAAACATGACTTTACAGGGGGACAGTAATAGTTCACGGACCACTGAATACACCTCTGTCCGTCTAAAAATGTCTTCCCCACTCGGTGGGATAAACACAAAACTAAACCTGTCTACAGTATAAAAATAAAAGCACTTCAGTCCTTTTTACAGAATTTGGCTGATTAAACGTTTGATACGTATGCCCGCTCAGAATACTAAACACTTAAATAAATAACACTTAAAGCAATACTTGAATTTGTTGTGTTTTATTATTGCTTTTGACACAGTGAACGACAATGATTTTGTCGTAATCACGCTCAACTTCCGGTACGAGTGTTAGCGTTTCCCTAGCTTGAATCGGTTTGCTGTCGGAGGTTCTCGGCACATCATAGTCATCTTCGTAATCCTTACTATTATTGAAGGCCGCGGGTTTAATGATCAGCTTTACAACTGCTGCAACTGCCACAACACGGAACCACTGATACAGCGCTTCTATTACACATTGCTGCTAACGTCAGCGTTAGCAAAGCAGCTGCAGGGATGGCGGAGGCTACGGGGATGTCAAGTGAGACGATAACGGAGACTGTTGAATCCAGCACGCCGCCGCCGCCCCAGCAGGTGGGTACTACATGGTCACAAGGATGTTATCTACTATGACACACAAAAAAAAATCATAACGATAAACGTTGCAGGCTGGGTCTTTGTCCTGTTCTGTTACAACTACCAAATTGAAATCTTGACGAGGCCCGGTGTATGAGTAAGGTGGAGCTCTTTTAACTACCGGTTATCATAAGGATATCGTTCATGTGTTGCTGTCACTCGCTCAGTGCGTGTACGTGAACATGACATTGGTCCAGGTCAACAAGTTAATATAATCTGTTGAGTCCACACCGAATTACGAGCTGTGTAACATTAATTGTGTATTAAATGGCACGGTTACCCCAACAATATCCATACCAGTACTTATCAATGTTAGTTCCACGAAATTTTTAACTGGTTGGACGAATGTTAAAATTATTTTCATCACTATATATTTAAGGTTGTCCCGATATTATCGGTACAAATCGATACATTTTATTAGTAATTGTGTACTTGTAGATAGTTTTTTTGGTTTGTCCTTCAATGAATATATTGAACAATAATATACAATTATTATGTTTGATGCATGTCATGGCAGCTAACATTTGGGCATGCAAGCTCATTCATTCTGAGCAACATTCTAATCAGGCTGTGAAGTAACCTGGGAGAACGACTCTTGTGCAGTCAGCAGTAATAACTGTAATGTTTATGCCATAAACTCACCTTGCCATTCACAAACACTACCTGGTAATGCGACTGTGTAATAACGAGTGACTTTGTTCTGAGCGACAGATTCCTTGAGATTGTTGACAGGTTAGCTCAGTCTCCTTGAGGAACCTGTTGACTAATAGCAGACCTGTCACGCGTTAACAGGAGGGACGAAGCCTGACAATCAAACTAAGGAAGAGGAAGACCGAGAAAAAGGTGGAGTGGTCCAGCGACACTGTCGACAATGAGCACTTGGGCAGACGATCATCTAAATGTAAGTTTTAATTATCTCCTGTCCAATTACAGTATGGAGCCCAAAGGAAAAATCCTAACGATTTTTTTTGTTTTGTTTTAGGCTGTTGCATATACGAAAAGCCCAAACAATTTGGCGAGTCGTCCTCTGAAAGCGAAGGAGACGAGGACGAGGAAGGCTGCGGCAGCGCTCATTGTATTTTGGGCCATGGCAGGAGAGACCATGGACAGAGGGGGGCTGGAGGGCCGACGGCGCCCCCCAACTCCGGAGGGTCACACGGTCACTGAGAAGCTGTGTGTATACTAAGCAAGGGATGTGAGTGGTTTGTCAACACAACTGTGGGATATGACAAAACTGCACTCGTTGTTCTTTTTTTAAAGTTTAGTTACATCACTGAGGTCCTTGACGGCCACTGGTGCTGCATTCTAGTCACAGCTAACACAGTGATGCCCTTAATTGGAAGTCACCCGTTTTTTGCTTAGTACTTTGCCGGCAGTAACACAGAATGATGGGATGAACGTCAGGTCAATCTGGAACTCATTGCTAAGATTATAATGATGGTGATGGTGATGATGATGATGAAGAAGATGAATAGGCTTACTGGGTGTATCTTGCATGTTTGCACTGCGTTGCTTCACAACACACACACGATCACGCTTCAAGCGTTAGCTTAGCATGGCGCCGACTTGGGCAATTAAACGATGTCACAAAATTGTCCATTGTCGGACGGTACGATTTGCCTCAGGATTATGACGGTCGTTAACGAAATCCGCAATTGGCTTCATACCGCTATCCCCAGGGTTCTTTTCCAAGAAGTCAACACGGTAATGGCCATTGGTCAAACCAGTGAACCTCTCTACTGTGTATTTGTTTTTGTAAAGAATTACAATAGTGTTAAATAGCATAAAATATTCTCACACTGCCTGCATTATTGGCCAATATTAATGAAACAAGTGAACAAAGTAACAGGAGAATGTGGTTTGTGTACACATAGCGGAGCAACAACGTGGCTAAGAACAGTCTGCGCGGTGCTACATGCAATATACACGGATCTAAGCATGCCATACAAACATGCTGTGGTCAGGTTGAGAAAGGGTTAAATGGCAGTCATGTGACCAGTCATTTTGGGTCATTTAGCTTTGAAAAATCTTTTTCTTATAGACTTTAGACGTCATCATCATCATCATCATCATCATCATCGTCGTCATCAGTGTCTCTCTGGAGTGTAACCCGACTCTGTGAACATGGCGGTGGTGAGTCACTAGAAGGCAGCGCACACAGTGGTCTGCGGTGATGGACAGGAAAAGGAAGGCTGTTAAAACTCAAGTTTGCCAGATACCATTTGCTTCTACATGACGCATTATTTATTTATTGTTTTAAATTCCTGGCTCTTATTTCACATGTTAACAGAAATCAGTCAGAGTCTGCGGTTACGTGGCATTGAATCCGTTTGAAGATGAACATGGTACAGACTGAACAAACACATACATGACGTTAAGTTTCAGAATGTTTTTTTATTTTTTTTGTTTTTTTTTTGTAATTTCTTTTGACAGTGAGCACTGACAGAACGTTCAAGATGATGTTTAAATATTATGTATCACCCAGTGTGCATAATAAAATAAATCATGGATGCGGCTCGTTATTGAAGGTCTGACAAATCTCGTTCGCTCGTTCGACATTCACCGTGTTTTGTTGAATGCACATTTGAAAGATGAGTCCATCACATCCTGCTGAGGTTTTCTATGTGACAAGGTATCGTTTATAACATCCAAAAACATTAACGGAACCTTATGGGCGTGCGTGTCCAACTGCCAATGTCAGTGACCCGATGAAGTCGAAAACAATTTTTTTTTCCCACATTCAAACCAAAACGAAGTAGTCTCTTTTCAAATCAAATGCTTGTGTCTTTCACATATTCTCTCATCGGGATATTCAAAAATAAATGCTGGAGCTGCGTGATAATCCATTAAGTGAATGTTTCTACACGTACCTAACCTCTATCAGGGTCATAGAATTTAAATAAAAATAAATCAGTAACAGAAGAAAACATTGCGTCACTAATAAATATAGTATGAAATTCATAAATCAGTAACAGAAGAAAACATTGCCGTGTCGGACTTGCTCTCCTTGGCAGGATAAAAATAAAAAATGTAGGAATATAGCCCCCTGATCCGAAACCAAAACTGCCGTAGTTCTGCGTTGTTGTTGTTGTTGTTTTGTTTATTTTTTTTTCTAAAATCTTCTGGTGTTGATTTCTTATTCTACGACATTTACATTTATTTTACAACAGCTGCAGACTCTGTGATGTGTATATACTTCGTTGGGAACAGCTAATGTGCCTGTTTGTTGTGCTTTCAGTAGAAATGTGTTCATTTTGCTCCCGTGTTAAAGAGACAAACACAATAAAAATTCTCCATTTTGTGTTGGGCGTGTTTATCCCGGCTAATATGCTAACAGCTAGGGCTGTGTTCCATAGGTGTCTCCCAACCTTTTTGAGCCGCCGCAGATATTTTACATTAGAAACATCGCACTGAACACACAAGTAAACAAAAATGTCACATATATATGATATATGATGAAATATAATGATCTGCTAGTCAAAATGTCACATGTGACATATGATGAAATATAATGATCTGCTAGTCTCGGTTCACACACAAATTACTTTCTCCGTGTGCAACCCGTGCCTGTTTAGATGAACACTGTGACTGACGGAGTTGCAGGAATGAAAGAAAGACATACAAAGATACTAAAGAGAACCTCTGGGTTGCTCTATTTCTTTTAGGCTTCATAGTCATCTGCTGCCATCTAGTGGAAGAGTATTTAATTGTTCAGTAAAAGCCACTAACAAAGACATTTGCAGTAAATAAAAAAAAATAGTGTTCAAACAAAGGAAGTTAAAAATTGCATTCAACACATCTGATGCTCTTTCAGCTTCTGGACAACGTTAGATTTAATATGTCAACCTGACCGCAGGCATTTAACCCTTTAAAACCACTGCTGTTTCTCTTTGCAGATTTGGAGGGCAAGCCATTGGGAATAACTGCTCGCTCAGACTTAGTGCTCATGACTCAGCACTCGGCTGAAACAGACTCGAGTTTCCTCTACAGTGTCAGCTGTTCGACCGCGTGACAATGCTGCTGGACACGTTCAGCTATTTCAACCATTCCACCTATTTTGTCGTTACTGCATGGAAAAAAAAAAGGTACAAGGCATTGTTCTTGTACCTACAAAGGTCCTGTTCAACATATACAGCAAAGCATAACGATAGCAGAATTAATGCTAATATCGGCTGTCCGATAACATCAGTCAGCCGATAGTAGCATAATTATGTAATATCGGTAGGAATAGGTTAACGGTTTTTCCTCCGAATGATACATTTTGTGCACACGATGCTAATTTGTGGAATGTCTTTAGAGGGGACGTCATAATTAAAGCAGTTAACGGGTTAATTCCACGACAGGAGATATGCGAATTGACCAAAAAATAGTTTGGGGGGAAAAAACTCAACGCAACATCAATGCAACATCACTGCGACATGCGCGAAGAATCAATGCCAATTCAAAGCTGGGGTCTCCAACCCCAGGTCCACGGACCAGTACCGGTCCACAGGTCATTTGTTACAGGGCCACAGTGGGAGAGAATGAAAAATGTTTTACTAATTTACTTCATTCAAAGAGAATCCAGTCATGTCCCATTTACTTTTTCTCACTCAAAGATCATTTTAAAATAATGTCTTTCAGACTCCGGTACTTACGAAAAACTAGGTGTGTACTGCAGATGCCGCTGTTAGTAGGATTTCAAGTAGGATTTTTATCAACTTTTTATCAACTTAAGTAGTCAATACCACAACAAGCCAACAGAGAGTTCACCCCATTTTATTTAGCCAGTGGTCATCATCCAACTTCAGTGTTACGTATTCATAGTTTGAGTCACAACAGTTAGTTCTTCCGAGTGAGGAGGGGGGCGCTTAGAGTTATGCAGCGTCTGTAATCCAAACTACGTTACAGCAGATAGGCTTTCACTTGTAGAAAAATTACCCTTCACTTGACAGAGAATAATATCACGGCGATAGAAACTTAAGGAAAAAAAAAAAAAAAAAAAAAACAACCATTAGTAATAAAATGCAGAAGAGACTGTTCCAACTCTAGAGGACGAGGAATAAAATGGTCCAGTCCACTAACGGCCTGACAATCCTTCTACAAACTGGAGCAGGTGATGTCATAAAAAATACTCTTAACTGTCCATATCTGCACGTGTACGCAACAATGACTTAATATGTAATTGTTCAGAGCATAAAAGCGTGCACTGCCTGTAACCACAGACCTTCTTAGTGAAGTCAATGACTATATACTACAAATTCTCAAATGACAGCATTCACAACAACCGCAGCGCCGCGGTTGCGTTTTGACATAAAAAACCAGCGACTGTTTTCAAACTGTACCATCAGGAAAGTGAACACCAAATACTGAAAAGCCAAGAAATACTGTAGATTGTCACAAAAGTTGCCAATGCAGATACGTACGTCGACGCTGCAGTTCTGCCTCAGAATTAAAACACTGTTGCCATTTGAATATTATCATACACGGACATTTAAAGTGTAGCTGCGTACCTAACCATGCAATTTGTCTGACATGTTCTTTAAAAAACGTTACCTGATCATTCTGGAATATATTAAATTATATTATACATTTTTTTTTTCTCTGTATAACATGCTTTAGCAAATTATGAAAAAAAAAAACAAAAAACAGGTTTCATAGAATGGACTGTTGTGTACTTGTGTACCCAAAACATTCATTCAAAAATGCCAAGAGCTTTCGTTCTCAGCTTTGGTCTGCTGTCCCATTAATGATAACTTAAGGCTAAAACAGAGGTGTGTACAGACACAAACGTCATGCTAATTGTCAGCAAACTTTAAACACGTGACAGCACCATGTGCTTGACTCATACAAATTCAATGAGGTGATTGTGAAGTGGGAGTGTTTTGCGTGTTATGGCTTTAAAAATGCCATCTCAGAGCTTCTGTTTTGATTGTGAGCGGGGATTTCCGATATGCTGATATTGTCCAAACATCTCATTTCCGATTCCGATATCAATGGATAACGATATATATGCAGCCGTTTGCCCCCCCAAAACTGAGGTACGTAAACGTCTCTGGACCCTGCAAGCGATTCAAGTATATTTTGCAAAACTGAGGCGTTGCGTTATTGTGGTTTCATTATCGTAAGGAAAAACCGATAACGATTCTTACAAATATGACATAATTATGTTAATGTCGATCGGCCCATGTTATCGGACATCCCTAGTTGCGAGGCTTAGAATGAAGAACCACCATTCCTTGAAGCCATAAGCCGGACCACTTTGCTTGGAAAACATTTGTCACGTTTGTATATCCTAATTACTAGCCATGTCCAATAATATTGGCCAACCAATACTAGCATAATTATGTAATATCAAAATAATTATCCAGTAATGAAAACTCAATAACGCAATGCCTGGGTTTGTCAAATATGCTGGAATAGCTTTTAAAAAAAAAAAATGTCACAGACAGAGATATGTGACGTGACCTAAAAAAATTTTTTTTTTTGGGGAAAAACAGCTGCACATTTCAATAGCGTTTGATATCTGAATCAGAAATTAAGTAAAAAAAAAAAAAAGATAATTTACAATCAAATGCTAACTTGGTAACTCTTCTGATGTTTGATCAACCTTCCGTTCTCAAGACGCATAAACGTGCGCAGTAGAGGAGAATGCAGGGAAATGACATGTTTGATCCTCTGACATTGTGTCTAAATCCACCATAGCAAAACACTGGAAGGTGTCGTGCCGAACTGCACAGGTGGGTAAGTCAGGAGGACACGATGGAGAGAGGGTCAGTCTGACGTTCAGGCTCTTTTATTGATCGCTATCAGCTTTCAAAAAGTGATATTACATAAGACTTCTACAAAGTATTCAATAGACCAAATCTTTAGGTGTTTAGGTGAAGGGTGGACCAGCGGTAGGGGAGAAGTGTATCACTAAGCATCTGGCTTAACAACTCCAAATCTCTTTGAGGACCACCACTGTGGTGACCCCGGATTAAAAAAAAAGAAAAAAAAAAAAGTTATACTTTGCTTATATTAATATATTTTTAAACTACCCTTCAGGGCCTCAAACTGGAGTGAACATGTTGTCACAAGTCTGATGCAGACCTACCTACTGTAAATACAGAGCAGCATGATCACGACATATAATCAGGTGTTGGCTTCAATCGCACAAAACTGTGTGTTGACGCAACAGGAAAAATTTGTGCACGTCCTTCAACGACAGACTTTTGGCAAGTCCGAGATTGAGAATGAAACAAGAAGTAGGAAAAACTAAAGCTAATCAACAGGTAAAAGCTCAAATAAGACACATCAGTTTATTTAAACTGATCCGGGCTATGTACGACAGCGGAAGTACACTCACGTGTTAAGCTTCAGAACAGATCAACGTGCCAGACCGCCTTTATTTTGAAACTTTGGTCAACAGGAAGTGAGCACAGAAAAAAAAAAAAAACCTTCAGGGCTCAGCGGTCTGGAGATAACAGTTCCGCTCGTTTGCTAGTGTACACTTGTGGTGGCAGAAAAAAAAAAAAAGCTCATCGGCAGATTCGGAATAAAGCTTCTCAGAAACTCCGAACTTTAGCGTGAAAACGTCAAATTCAACAAAGTGTTCTAAACCTTCAAGGATTGCACTGCATCTGATCAAGATTAGCGTAGCTAATGAGGCAAGCTGTGTTCCGTTGTCAACGTGAGTGTGATGTATTACCACAAGTAGAACGGACACCCGACACGGTCGGAGCCATAGTGTTAAAACATAAAGTGATGCTTCTACGATTTATATGACTTTTGTAATAAATGTGCAACACGACTTGAGCCACGTGGCAACAACAAAAGTGGTGGAGTGAGTCAGTCTTTGCAGAGGTCCATTTTTTTGTGGCGTCAAACACCTGGTCAGCGAACTTCTCAGCATCTGGGGGGGGGGAAGAAAAACACAAAAACATTAACACACACACGTGCAAGTCTCTAAAGCTCACTTGGTGGTTGTATATATTCATTTTAAAAAAACACTTGATTTCACCAGTTTGAACAAACGACTTCAATGAAATTAAACAAGTCCCGTAGTAATGGAACCCTTTCACTTCCCTGTTGCAAAGTCTATAGAGAACATTCCACAGTACTATGTCAACACTAAAGTAAAGTTCAGAAAAGTTCAGTGAGCACAGTCTTAAAGACAAAGATAGTATAACATTCTTGCCTTTTGTTATGTAACACTAGCTAGCGCCAACATTAGCTCTTGATGTGAAGCGGGTCGGACCAGAACAATCGTAAAATAATGACCTATAAATAACAATACGTCCATGTTTTTCTCTTTTGTTTACATGCAAATAAGTAGAGGTTTATAAGAAAAGCGTCCATGTTTTTCTCTTTTGTTTACGTGCAAATAAGTAGAGGTTTATAAGAAAAATGTGCATATATAATGAAATATAATTTGACAAAAACATCACGAACATGAAATGTCAGCGCATTTTATCACTTTCAAAATTCATCAATTGGGCCAGATGGAACCCCCCCAGTGGGCTGATTTGGGCCCGCAGGCCGCCTGTTTGACTCCCCTAGTCTAAATACTATTGTAGAAAAATGGATGGAACATCAACTTTTTTTGTACCTAGAACCGATCGGCCGGTATCGGCCGTTACTGCGGACCGGTAATACTGTGCCATCATTGAAGGATCAATACATTTTCAAAATCAAACATCTTTTAGACTCTATTCCGTTGGTATCCGAATCCGAATGACCTGTTGTTTTGAAACACTGTTAGATTATCTTTGAATGAAAAAAATGGAATGAAGTAAATTAGTAAAACTGAAGGACATGTTTTACTGTGTCCCCCTGCAGCCCAGTTCCAAATGACCCAAGGACTGGCTACCATCCCCAGACTGGGGGTAGGGGGACCCCATGCATTATAATATTAAATATCTCAACCTGAAAAAAAAAAGGGGGCTAACCATTAAATTAACTTCTCTTCATCTTGTCCACAGGAGACACAAGATTCTCATTTTGCAGCGACTCGTCAGTCATTTCATTCGTCCCCTTTTCCTCGTCCCCTTTTTCCTTCTTGTCCTCCACGTCCAACATCACACTCTGTCGCACACTGACCGAGATCACTGCAGCTTGGATGATGCCGTAGATCAGCGCAAACTGAGGGAGATACTCCTGGATTAACCCAAGCAATCCGGCCATTCCAACTGTAGAGACCAAAAACATGGCCATCCCATGAATCCACAGCCTCAGCGCTCCCTGGACTCCTAGCACCTCCAGTATCAGCTTGGTCGGTGGCGACACCGTCCAGAGGAAGCCGACGACAAACAGGTCAAATAAATGGCGGAGGAAATTGAAGCAGATCTCGTAGTGCTCCGAAAGAATTTCTACTTTCCAGCCGTGTGCGAAGAGTCGAAAAGGAGACCGGGTGAGAGAGAAGAAGGTAGGAGACGGAGGTGGCGTTCTAAAGTCTCCGTCAACGTCGTCGTCATCCCGCGCAGACGTTTTCCGGCCGTGACATTTCTCTTGTCGTAGTGTGTTTGACTCTGTTTTTCTTGGCCACAAACTGTAAGACGTGGGCAGGTATTTATTCCACCACCTGACAACGTGTCCTGTCTCCTGCTTTCCTGCGCGGACATCTGCGATTTGCAGGGGTTGAATCTTCTCCTGGGCCTCCCAAAATTCTTCCACTGGACTACTTTGGTCCTTCTGGTATTTCCACCCGCCCCAGATCCAAGACGTCCATCCTTTGGAGCTCTGTTTGCTGTGGCATTTTCTGGGTTCGTCGTCTTCAAATCCTTTTGTTTTGTCCGATCCTGTGATCCTGCCCCACGAGCACACCCAGCCCAGCGCCCTGCCGACCAACGCCGTCATGTTTCTCACTCAGCCCGTTGGCGCCGTTTACAAAGACACTTGACTATTTCTCAGCTCTCGCTCAGAAGCTGTTTGAGCAAATAGAAAAAAAAAGCATGAACTGAATGCCAGTGTGGTGGTTATAAGGTCGTGATACTAGTTCACCAGGACTGAGAAAAATGTCCATTGGTTCTCGGACACACCTGTGGGCGTGTCTTAGCAGTTCAGCAGAGTGAGGGGTGACCCCAATAACGACTTACTGAATTAGATTTGCAGTCTACATGTCTTGTTTTAAACTTGACAAATATGCAAAGGCGTTCTTGTGGTTCGTGTGATCATAAAGATGTAGTGTCATTGAGCAAATAAACACTGAATGGCCCCAAGCCAAGACGAAGCCTTCACTCGTGACAGTAAACGTAATCTTCTTCACACAGAGACCAGAGAGACAAGTTTCTGGTTTATGCACCTGCGAACAAAGAAAATGAGAAACGTTTTCGTTTTAGGCGTTGAATCTTTCCCACTTCCACGTCAACAGTGTCAGCAAGACGATGTTAGAACAACTAAGCTAAAAAAAAAGATGTAGTAATTAATACACCAGCGAGTTTTAATAGTTTACTAACCAAGTTAAAAACACACATGAAGCGTCTGTATTACAACAGGAAACAAAAGAACGGTTAAAAACTCACCTCCGGCGATCTAAGCTCCAAGCTATTGTTCCTCGGTCCTATCGCAGCTAGCTCTCTTAGTTAGCATCAAATCAACTCGCCACGCAATAACATTAGTTCCATTAGTTCCTGTGTGCTGCGGTCACAACGTCGGCGTCGTAGTTAAAAGTGTTTCAACCGAATAAATGTAGTGTTATATCGCCAAAACAGAATGATAGAAAACGGAACTGAACTAGACAGAGAGGTTCACCTCTACCTGAAACGAGAGTCGACGCCGGAATACCGGGTTGTCCCACCTTTCAAAATAAACGGAACCTTTCTTTGTAGCGTTGTCGCAGCAAAGTTATCCCCGTTCGGGATAAAATACCCCCTTAACTGTACTGCTATATTCTAGATCTAAGCATCAAAGGGGAGAGCTTTTGAAGAACGTGTGCACGTAAATCTTTTAATGTAGAGGCACATTTTTATTGGCTTTGAACCAAAGGGTTGAAGGGATGCCACACCTAGAACATCTGTTTTTAACCGCAGAAGCGATATACACGCCTCTTCATATTCATTAATGTCCTACATATAAAATGAATTTGTCATATATATATACACATACACGAAAAACCTAACGTTAGTTGTGCTTAAACAAGATCAAATCTGGTATAAATACCGTTTTTTGCAACATTATATTAGCTATGCATTGTTTGCGGGTAGGAAGTACGCACTTAACAGTTCCAAAAGGCACAGGAACACAACTAACGGTTGCATTTGTCCCATTTCCTGTGCTTGCGAGGTTGACGCAACTGACTGACAATTTACAAAAAGTTAAATCACCCAATATTTTGTAGCATGACTCGGCATAAGGGTGAATCTTAATGTTTATTGGAGTGGAGAAGCACTATTCTAGTTTATTGCAAACAAGTGAGGTTAGGATAGAACAACAAAGCAGATGTCTTTTTTTTTTTTTTTTTAAACCATTTAATCACAGTTGTCCAAACTCAAACAAGTACATTTTAAAATGAACATGCACCTTGCACTCAGGAATCAACTATTAAAACATGGGCGATTGCAGTTCCTCCATTTCAGGAGCTAAACCTCCGAGATTCCAGGATTCTCAAGTAGGAACCCGGGCCACGTGACCACCGACAGAAGAATCAGGACCTGCAAGAAATTGTTTAGTTCACTTTTTGCCTGACAAAAATCAGGGAATTTTAGCCTCAAGTCTCGAGTGTCTCAGTGCGCTGCGAGTAGACCTCATATAGCATCAGTAGAACCAAATATCTGAATCATCACAGACCAAACTCAAGTACATGACCTAAAGGACAGACATGTAGTTCAATTAAGTCACTGCAAAAAGACTTACTTGAGCCAGGTTTCTGTAATGTGTGATTTGCAGAGACGTCAACCAGCCAGCAGTACATGAACTACAGGAGAGAAAACAAACAAAAAAAAAAATTCAAAGGGAGCACTGTAGATTTAGCCATTTTAGTTTAATTACACAATTGGAAAAAAAAAAAAAAAAGTCAAGTATACAACTAACAAAATTTAATATAAATTAAAACTCAACTGATTTAGCTTGCAAATGTGTGCAATACTTTCATGCACACTATTTTTCAAATTAAAATGGTCAATAAATGTGATTCGACAAAGTACTCATTTTGTGGTCAGTGCACTGTGAAAACATCTTCATGGATTTCTCAGAGACTCTAGTCTAGTAATTCATCATCCCACAAAATATCCTAAAACGTTAAAAACAAACCATCAAGCTTGTAGTTACCTAGAGAAGAATCTGTTCCGCAAGTCCAAATTGACAACCTGTGAAAACAAACTACATCAGGAAAAAAAAAGTTTCATCGATTCAATCTGTATAATAATTGCTATCATGCTCAGTGCACTGTGAAGAGCTTCATGGTTTATCAGAGACTCTAGTCTAGAAGAATCATCATTGGCATGTTTATGTCACTGTTTGAGACCGCGAAACCACGACACTCACCATCTGCTCATGGCTAACAGAGCCACACGCTTTTCTCTTCAGGTATGAGACGTTTCGTCAGGACTCACAGGATCCACTTGGGGTCGCTACTCTCATTGTTGCAATCTAAAACAGGAAAAAGGTCACTGTATTTTTTCTTCATTTAAACAAGCGATTGGTATCCACTCTTATATACTATTCACATTGCAATTCATGGAATATCATGCTATTAAAAAAAAACAAAAAAAAACGATTTTAAGTACGATTACTTCATTTTGACAACGTTCACTTTACCATCGGTCGAATACGTTAGCAATTGATGTGTTAACGCGTGTAAAAAGATGGAATCTAAGTTACCACAATTATGTAAAAGAGAAGATGCTTCAGCAAAGCACTCTTAGAATGAGTTATGGTTTTACTAAAACATGATTTTAAAAAAATAAATTAATTTACCCCTCCCCCCTACTGTTTAGCTACCTCATTTTGCACTTACATCATCCAAATCCAGGATTGGCGTTCCCGTAGCACCGTGGAACCTCAGTCGTCGGTTTAGTAGATTCAAAAAGAAAGTTACTCATCCTTCTCGGTCTGCTGAGAAATCATACATTTGTCAGGAAACCTTACTTCATTAGATCCTCCATTGCAGTGGATGCTTTAAACCACACCATATTGTTAAGTTGTGAAACGCAAAGTCTGTCACGTTAACAACTAAATAATAAACATCTCCTTAAAAAAACTTCAAATACTGTAAAATTATTTACCGTAATGATTCCTTTTTGTGTTGGGACACGTGTTTCAATGTCCGAGATGCTTCGTACAGAACCATCAAGCGCGAGGAAACAGAAGGACCGAGTGGATAGCGAGCGCGTGCTTTATACCCTGGGTCCTTCTCTGGCCCTTGTGCTTGAGGTGTCCCTACCACTGCCTGATATTCTGGCGTTGAAAATGCGCACAGTAAACTAGCAACATCATTAAAAACTTTGGTCAGTTTAGTCGTTTGAGTTGTATTTCTTGCAAAACTCAGTGGTTGAATTACGATATGGTGATTTATCTGTGTTTTTCCAACAGGAAGTTGATGTGCGAATGTTTTGTTTAGTGTTCGGCATTTTAATATTAAGGTAAAAAACTAGCTAAACAAGTTAGAAAAAAACAATATTTTACAAATAAGAAAAAAAAAACAAGTAAAGTCACTTAATATACGAACATGTCTATTGCTGTTTTTGTATGTTTTAAAAACATTTTAATGTTTTATGCCTGCATTTCTGTTGCTCTTTTAAAATGATCTTGCGGTAGCAACCACACCACCGAAAAACATATATACGCATAAACATATAATCATATATATACAATTTTAAATATATTTATTTAAAAAGTGTTTTTTTCTTCTTCTTCTTATTCTGAGGCACTCCCCTCCAGCCTCCACCTATGTCCGTCCCCCTTTTCTGGTCGTTACGCTCGCGAGATCTGGTAACACGCACTTACCACTGTGTCGTTACTAAGATCAGGTACACGGCGTGAAGATGGCGACCGCCTACGAGAGATATAATTTGTAAGTACATTTAAAGTGACTTGTCTTGTAATTTACGGATAGTTTCCTCCCCCTTTGTGACATTTCACGGTTCTCAAAGGGCAGAATAAAGGCGACGCTTGTGAGAGGAATAACACTGGCCGGGTCTACGGCTCAGCGGCAGGTCAGGTGATACAGCGGCTAAAGTTCGCTGACCGGCTCAGCTGGTAGAGCAGGAAACAGTGAAGTTTAAGTCCACAGTTATTAATTATGAAGAGTGTTCTGGCATTAACGCTCACCGCAGGCACAAGGTGTGACACATGCCTTGTACAATTCCAGCCTCGGCTATGACTGTTGCTCTGGTCGTCAAGAAAGTTATAGTTGTTTTTCTATAATCAGGATTCATATTTTATGTGTCAAAGATAAAATTTGGCTATTTTTCCGATTACAAAAGCAAAAGCAACAAACGCTTCTCAATCTGCCCTGTGCCTTGCACAAGAATAATGGTCATGTTTGCACTGTGAACCCCATTCATCTCCTGTGCCTTGCACAAGAATAATGGTTTGCATGTTTGCACTGTGAACCCCATTCATCATTCCAGTGTTCGTTTGACAGCAGCACTGTGTAAAGGGAGCCTGGTGCAAAGGGACACTGGTGAGCAATGCCAACTTCAGGATGTCACCAGAGAATATTCTGAATATTCGAATATTCCAAGTTCCAACAACTGCAGAAACAACGTCATCCTTAAGTCTGACAAATTCTAAACTCAGTGGGCAAATTTAGCTTGGAAATCAAAATCTGGATTCATTAGTTAAACCGGTTCGCTTACGTCATTGGTTCTCAATTGAAAAATGATCAGTCAGTGCAACTCTGGCTGATAGTACTAACAACGAAATAATAATACTTAGCTAAAAATGGCAGTAATAGTTGTCGAAATAATGATGATAATTATGATAGAGATGGACAGTTTATTTATTTATTTATTTTTTTTATTTTTTAAAGGCACACAACTCCAGAGAAATTCTACATCGAGGCTTGTGACGATGGGGTCGATGCTGTGCTGGCCATTGACAGGGACTCCAATGAGATGACCCTGACAGGTACACATTAGCTACACACGAATATACATTGTATCAGTGAGTTCTGAACACGTAAACGTATTGTTGAATGTTGTGGTTTTGATCGCAAAAAAAAAAAAAAAGTCTGACAAAAAAAGTTGAATGGGCCGCTAACGGACCCCGGGCCTTAGTTTGCCCGTGCCTGTTGTAAATACTTTGCCACAGCTTTTCCTGCTTCTCTGGAACTAATCTAAAGACACGAAGCATGAGAATGACATTCCCCAAGCCAACTGGAATTTAAAAGCTCAGGAGATTAGTGTGGGAGAGAATGACCTACAGGCAGAGATGAGAAGTGCACCTGAGACTGAACAGAAAAGGAAAAAAAAAAAAAAACACAACATGACGTAATAATTCTTGCAAGTTGAAGAATTATTTAATTTAATGTAATTATTTTGTGAAGTCTGCTGCGTTAAATATGATCCAAGGCCACTAAAAATAACTACTCAATGTGGAATTGAATGACATGTGCTTAAAATCATTACCTGCAATCACAACAGGGTATCTGTAAAAAAAACAAAGCGAAATCTGAACAAAGAAGTTTTTTGAGGTCATTACCTGTATATTTATTTATGTTAAGTTCCAGCGTATTACTAATCAGTCTTTTTTTTTCCCCCACTCTCCTTTCACAGACAAAGTGCACGTTCCTCCCTCTGCCGTCACGAGGCCAATTTGTGGCATCATGGGAACAATCCGCCTGGTAGCAGGCAGGTACCTTTTTATACATTATTCCGCCGTCAGTTTGGTGAAAAAGGAATGAATTGATTCCTCACCTATTTTAGAGAAATTGTTAAAAAAAAAAAAAATATATATATTTACTTGTGTGTCCCAGTCTCATAAATGTCAAAACTGGTAATCATAACATAATTACCCATAAATAACAATGAAGCCATTTTTTTCCTCCTTGGTTTTCATTCAAAGACGTACCTAAAATCTTCATATTTAATGTAATATATTTCGACAAAACATCACAAACTCAAGTGTTCGTGCATTTTTTCACTTTAAAAATTCATCAAGCGGGCCAGATTGAACCCTCCCAGCGGTGCTTTTTTCAGCCCACGGGCCGTATGTTTGGCACCAAATCAGACGCAAAATTTCAGTATCGAACATCACGTAAACAAAAATAACTATAGCCCAACCGATCTGATACATAAGCCAGACGGCAAATAAGCCTACTTTGGTTTATTGTGTTGCTACTGCCCTATGGAATGTTAGCAGCAGCAGCCGCTCCTAAAGTTACAACTCTGTCTCCACAGGGATGAACCTGATCGTCATCACAAGGAAGAGGAACGTGGGCAGCCTCCTCGGACATGCAGTGTGGAAGGCGGTGGAGTTTGATGTAATTCCATACAAGAAGACAGTGCTGCACCTGTCAGAGAGTCAGGTGGGCAACAAACACAACCTTGAATTACAAGTTCACTATTCCAATATGTCGGGGATTTAACCTCTTTGTATGAACTCTCTTCGCTGATTTGAATAGATGCCAATAACAGAACTGAGTTTGACGTTATACATATATACAGTATATGTATAACGTATAACATATATATGTATATATGTGCCCCGCGACCCGGTTAAGCGGATGAAAATGGATGGATGATGGATATATGGATATATATATATATGTATATATGTATATATATATATATATATATATATAGTGTTACAAGTGTTAAAGGCAAATTGGTTTTATTTGAATATAATTTTCTTAAAATAAATGTATTATTTTTTTAATCATTACTTTTACCGTATTTTCCAGACTCTAAGTCGCACTCTTTGTTTCATCCTTTGGCTGGGTTCGCGACTTATACTCATGTGTGACTCATATATTGGAATATATAATTTCACGTTTGTTATTTTCACACCGATGGCCGCTAGAGGGCACTCTAGGCCTGTGCCACTGAAAATGTACACGTCCGTTATTTTCACACTGACGGCCACTGTCATTACATAGGAAAGGTATATTTAGCAATAGAAAATATGTCAAGTCCGGGGAAATATGCACAAGCACTAAACAAAATCACTTAGCGTTGACTTCACTAGCTAAATTGAAAAACACATTCGCGTCTTTCGTAAAGTTGCTACAGTCTGCGTGATTTCACCTGACTCCACATTTCAGTCGATGAGAACTTCAGACATAATTTATTCACAATATGGCTTTATTTACAACCATGCACTTTTTTTTTTTTTTTTTTTTGCCAACAGCACTGTCATTAATTTTGCATTCTTTTGTGCTTCAGTTGCAGGAGAATAATACATTCCTGTCAATGATGAACAGCGTGCTGAGCACGGACGGCTTCTACTTCTGTACTGACTACGACCTGACGCACACGCTGCAGCGCCTCGCCAACACCAGCCCCGATTTTCAGGAGATGAGTCTGCTAGAGAGGGTGAGGCATTACAAAATTCTTGCGTCCCCTCCATCCCCACAACCCAAAAAAAAAAAACAAAAACAACATGGGCGATAGCAAAAACGATGTGTTCATATAAATAACAATAATAATGAAGGTTTTGAATATTTACTGCAGGTTAATTTCCTAAAGTTCCTGACTAAATAAAAATGACTGTTGTGGTTTTTCCAGGCAGATCAGAGATTTGTATGGAACGGATACCTGCTGAGAGAACTGGCTGCACAACCAGAGGTGACACACATCATCGCCTTTGATTTTCATTTACGCTGCCCAACGTTTACTCGTCCTTTTGTACTTCATTTCAATAACGCGCACAACTGTATCCCCTCAGCTCCACAGGTTCGCACTACCCGTTGTCCACGGATGTATCCTTTTCTGCTGAATGTATTTGATCGATATACAGTATTAGTTATTAAGGCTCCCGCAGCAGTACAGCACCATTTAAAGAAAACACAAGAATAGGCACGTGTGTAAAAATAGGACAATACAATATATATAGTGTATACATATACATACATACATGTATACATACATACATACATATATATGTATATTTATATATATATGTATGTATGTATGTATGTATATATGTATACATACATACATACATACATACATACATATATATAAATATACATATATATACATACATACATGTATACATACATACATACATATATATGTATATTTATATATATATATAGATATATATATATACATATATGTATGTATGTATGTATGTATGTATACATATATACATACATACATACATACATACATATATATAAATATACATATATATACATACATACATATGTATATATGTGTATATATATAGACATATATATATGTCTATATATATACATATATATGTATATATATAGACATATATATATATATATGTATATATACATATATATATATATATATATACATGTACATGTATATACCGGTATACATGGTTATTATAGATTTGCATGATAATGCACGGTTATTAAAGATTTTCTGCACTTATTGCACATTCTCCCTTCCCCACTAGTCATTCCGGTATTTAGGGTCTTGTGTCACGGCCATGTTAAAGGCGTGCTAAATGCAGCCGCTAAGTAGACAACTTGTTGCTTGAGCTCTTTCTTGACCTTGTGATTCAGTCATCGTCATCAAGCCCTGCCGTATAAATGGTAAAATCTTTGAATGGATCCTCATATCCAGGAGAAGCTGCTTCAGGGCTGGTGTTAGATATTATGTCAGAGGTAAGCGTCTTAGGAAAAATGTTCAACTTCACGACACAAAACCAAAACCTAAGATGTTTTGTAAAAAAAAAAAAAATGTAGCATTGTTGTGTCAAATGCCCGTTTTTATTTTGTTACAGTACAGCATCTACCTGCACTGCTCAGAAATGTGTGTCCTTCTCCGCAGGCATCGACTCCGAAGGTCACGCTGCTAATTTTGTGGAAACCGAGCAGATAGTTTTGTACGAGGAATCCAAGGCGTCGTTTGTACAGGTGAGAATAAACAAGGCTGGCCACAGTTTGAGAACCACCTGTGGTTGAGTCCTGTTATGCTTCAATACCTTTTTTATTTATGCAATTTGGTGCACTATTAACTCTATTTTTTTTCATTATCCACAGACCCGAGGTTCCATGCCATTTTACTGGAGTCAGAGACCCTACCTCAAATACAATCCAAAGCCCGTAATCAGCAAGACCAGAAGCCATGTAAGGGATTGATCGTTTTTCTTTTTCGTTTTTTTGTGTGTACACATTTGCAAATTAGATGGTAATTCATTGAACTTTTGTGCAGACTGATGGTTTCCAGAGACATTTTCTCTCTCAGCTCCTTATCTATGGCAAACAAACCATCATCAACCTGGTAGGTTGACCCTTTCACCCCCCATTTCACCGTCACCCGTTTTCTGTCTGAAAAAGAAGTGGACCCATTGATAGCGTTGTGTTTGCGCTGCAGGTGAATCATAAGGGTTCAGAAAAGCCACTGGAGCAGACCTTTGCCAAGATGGTGTCAGAGATGAACAATGACAAGCTTAAGTAAGTGTCACTCAGTGTCAAGGTTGTCATTTCACTAGATGCAGTACTGTTTTATTGACACAAGGGGACAGGAAATGTGGGCAGGGAAATTTCGTAGGAAAAGTATGTTGACTACATACGAGGGGTGCCAAACTTGCTCTTCCTTAGCTACGTAAACTCACTACATACCAGAGGTGATAAACATACGACATGCGGGCCAAAAACCGGCCTGCATGGGATTTCAATCTCAATTTTGAAAAGAAATACACTTCATGTTTAGGAAATGTTTTGTAAAATTATTAGGGAATGTCCGATATGAACTTTTTACCGATGTTGTCCAAACACTTAATTTCCGATTCTGATGTCAACCGATATAGACCTGGTAATATTTATTTATTCAATGCTCCGCTCTCATACATACATACATACATATACATACATATACATACATACATACATACATGTATACATATATACATACATATATATGTATATACAGTATATGTATACCGATATGTATATATGTATCTATATATATATACATATATTTGTATATATACATATATGTATATATATATATATACATATGTATGTATGTATATATGTATATTTATATATATAGAAATATATATATATACATATATGTATGTATGTATATATATACATACATATACATACATAGATACATATATACATATCGGTATACATATACTGTATATACATATATATGTATGTATATATGTATGTATGTATACATGTATGTATGCATGTATGTATATGTATGTATGAGAGAGTACAGATGAATAAATAAATATTACCAGGTCTATATCGGTTGACATCAGAATCGGAAATTAAGTGTTTGGACAACATCGGTTAAAAATCTGTACAGTCTATAAGATTAATTAAATGAGCTGCAATGCTCCCATCTAGTGACTTTCACTTTAATATACAGGTGTTTATCCCCAAAACTATTTTTAGGGCACACAGTGCCCAAGCTCTGCATTATCGGGTTTTCATTATCGGAGAAAAAACCGATAACGATTCTTACTGATATTACGTAATACGCTAATATAGGGCCGATAATTCTATTTCATTATAATTAATAAAAAAACAATTATAATAACAC